GCCGGGACCCCCGGACGGGAAAGGGGTTCCAGGCCAGCCATCTGCTGCCACGCTCCCTCCCGATGGGAACAGCAAAGCAGGGGCTCCCCCCACAGTAGCCACAGGCCACCTTCTCTCATGCCCAGGTTGCCCATGTCCAGGCACAGATCTCCACAGCCTGTTGAGGACTTGGGGCAACAAGCCACTGGGCAGCCCAGGGATTGCCCCTATGGCTAGGACCAGATCTGCCTAGATCAGATCCTGCCTGGTGGGGCAACTAGGCCCAGCCTCCCCTTCCATTTTCAGTGAGCAGCGGCTCACCCACCATGTGTGGGCTCCACACCTCTGCCAGACCAGCTGAGGACTGGTGCAGGCTGAAACCAGCATCTCCAATGGTCCCAGAGCCCATCGCCCCACTGGCATGGGGCAGGGCTGAGGAGCCTCCTGTGCCCCAGCCTGGCACAGTCCAACCTGGTCTTCCTGCTATGTGAAAAAGGCTGGGAGGTGGTGGCCAGGGTCCCCAGGAGCCCTCCATGCCACCTCCCTAGAAGACAGATTTCTATGGCAACTTCAGCCCTACGCATCCAGCACCATGGAAACACATAGAGCCAGGAGCAGAGCCAGACCTCTGCAGGTGAAGAGGGGCTCTGCCAGCCCCCACCCTGCTGGGAAGAGCACCTCACCATGGTGACAGCAACGCCAAGGGACCCGCTCACCCGTCCCCCTGCAGCCCCCAGCTCCGGGCACTCACCGCTGAAGTGCTGGCGGCAGACACATGTGTACCCCCCCTCCTTGCGGGTGCAGATCCCGCCATTCAGACAGGGGTTGGAGTAGCAGAGGTTGATCTCCGTTTCGCAGTAGTCCCCGGTGAAGCCCTGCGGGCAGCGGCACCGCAGGCCGGTGATGGGGTGGATAGGCCGAAAGAGGGTGGAGGGGGAGGCGATGAAGGGGGATGAGCTGTCAAACTTAAGGACAGAGATGCACTTCATGTAGTTCTGGCAAGGCTCCCGCAGGCAAACGTTGTCATCGAAGGGCAGCACCTCCAACATGGAGGCACCCGTCAGCGCCATGCGCTTCATGTACAGCTGCTCCTGCAGCTCCTCCGAGCTGAAGTAGCGCCCGCCCCGCGGTGCCAGGGCTGAGAAGCTGACGTTGAGCACCGTGCCGCCCACATCCGTGTCATTCTGGATGTTGAAAATGAAGATGTCCTCCTTGGGTGTTGCAAGCACAGTGGCCACCCCTTCCAGGAAGGTGGACAGCAGCGGGGAAAGGAAGCGCTCTTGCCACATGTTCTCCAGCCGCACCGTGATGCTGTTAGCCAACATGTCCTCTGTGATGATGATCACCCGCAGGACACACTGGGCTGTCACGCTGTGGATCCCATCTATGGGAGGGAACAGGGACACGCTGGAGGTCTTTGCCTGCTGTTTGTAGGGTCTCCTCCCTCCCACCCCGGGCACAGCCCTGCATCTCAGTGCAGCCCCCAAAAGGCCTAAGTCCTTGGCTAAGAAACCTTGGAGCCACAGCCCCAGGGGCTAGCCGGGTGCCACCTGGGCTAGAGGGCAAGCGGTCTGTGTGGCTCCACCTTCTCCCTCCCCTCAGGTTCTCCACTGAGTTAACTCTCAGGTTTCTTCCCTGTCCTGGATCTCGGCAGCAAAATGAGCTCTCAGGAACAAAGATGCTGGTGAGACTCAGGAAGAAGGAAGTCCCAGCAGGAGGTTGGGCAAACACAGGAGCCGATGCCAGGGCCTGGGGTGTTTTGCTTCCCACTGCGCTGTGTCTGCCTGCCCCACGCTGCCTTTCCCTGTGCTCTCCTGCTGCCATTTCCTTCCTCTCTCCTCCAGGGTCTCCAAGGCTTTTGTGCCGGTCTCCCTGCTTCCCCCCTTCTCACCATCTGCTCCGCATCAATTCCTCCCTCGGCCCATCTCCGGTTTGTTTAATTCTCTTTAATCTTTATTTTCCTTGGAAACAAACTCTCTCCCCTTGGGACCCCGCACCACGCGAGCAATCTCCCAGGCGCTAACACAACAGCATGCACACACACTCAGAGCCTGCCAGCATGCCCCCCCCCCCGCTCCCTCCCAGGACCCCTGGCGTTAGCAGCATCTCACCCCTACGTCAGGCATGGTCACGTGCCAGCAGCTCGGGGTGCAGGCAGCGCAGCACCAGCCCAGACAGGCAATGGCGCAGCTCCCACCCCAGCAGCTGTGTGATCTGGGGACCCCTGCCTCACGCCCACTTACCCAGCTCCCAGGAACCCAGTGAATCCCGCTACTTTGGAAGGTCATACCCTGCTGCAAATTAGGAAATACTGGCCAAGATGGGAGCTGCACAGAGAGACAGACATGACCACATTCCTAATTCCTCCGGGAAACCCTGCCACAAGCACAGGCAGGCACACAGCGCCCCTCCCAGTGGGACGCAGACTGTAACCACCCCAGCTGGGGACCTGCCGGTCAGCAAGCTCTGCGCCTTGCTCAGATAAAATGCCCACTGGTCACTTCCACAGCACAAGTGCCCCAGCCCATTCCCCAGCCTCGCCACTTTACACTGCCCAAATGCAAGCTGCCTAGCCCTTCGCTGGGCCTGTCACTCTTCCCCCTCTCTATCCAGGTAGAAGTTTGGGCAGTGGTTTTATTTTTCAGTTATTAACTCTCTTTTCCATGTGACCCCAGTCAGTGTCAGGGGGGTATCCCACAAAGTGGCCTGCCAAGGTCCCCCTTGCTCAGGCCACCCCAGGCACCTTTGCTAGCAGCTTTGGATGGGGCACCCAGGAAGGGGAGAAGCCTGCTTGCTGCTCCAGGACACCTCCTCTCTCCCCAGTCCCCCTCCTTCTGGGCCCTCCGCCCCAGGCAGGCAGAGCCAGCCTGTAGCATCGCGAGGCAAGGACTGCACCTACATCTGTGGCCCCAGAAATGCTTGAGGGCCTCACTGCTCCTGGCGAAATGGGGCAATCCGTCTTCCAGCCCACTGCCAGCACCCCAATGCTGATGCCCTGTGGGCATCAGCAGCACAAGGCTGTTGCCTGCTGTTCTCATCTCCCACCCCACATCCACCATAGAGCCCCAAAGCCCTGTGTTTCCTTGGAAACCTGGCTCTCCATCATCATCCCGAGACATTTACATCAGCACATCTCAGTGGTGACTCCCAGGACTACCCCAAGCAGCAAGCCATGCTGTAACATCCCTCACACATGACCAATGAGTGGAAAACACAAGCCACCCCCTTCCCCTGGGTACGGTGGGTTTGGCTGCCCATGCACCCCCACAGGCAAGGCCACCTGAATGATGAGTGAGGCGTTTTCTGGGACGTTCCCCTTTGCCTGTCTGTCACACTGACCCCTAGCAGGTAAATCAGCTCCACAGAGACAGCCTCGTGCATCCTCTCCTGGGCATCTGTGTCAGGGTCAACACTCTGGCCTCCTGTTTAAACGCTGCCATGGGACATGGGCGTGTGAAAAGGCAGGCAGGAGGGCTCAGCTCACTTCAGGGGAAGAGCAGCTAAAGCAAAGATCCCCCAGCACTGCCGAGGGCAGCCCCCCTCTGCCTCGCTCCAGCCCTCATCCGTCCCCCAGCACACGCTGGTGCGGGCAAACCAGACACCCAGTGCTGGGCTGCTCACGCTCTGCCCCTCCGCCTCGCAGCCAGAAAGCTGAAGGACAAGCTCAGCGGCTCTGGCTGTTCACAGCCCAAGGGGCAGCCATGCGGGTTATAACCAAGCACACTAGCATGACCACCCCGATGACCAAAGGCACCATGGTTCCGTCTCGCCTGCAGTGGCCCTGGAGGGACCACAGAGCATTACCAGTGTGAACACAGGAGAGCTGCTCGTTTGCTCACACGCTGTAACCTCTGTCCCTCTCTCAGCCCAGCTGTGACACCACCTTGTGTCGCACAGAGCAGGGAGGTGACCAGCAATCTTCAGGGTGATCCCATTGTCAGCTGTGCAAAGGCACAGTGCAGCCCCGTGCCACCACACGTCCCCTGCCTGCCCTTCCATGCGGGATGTAACAGCGTGGCAGCATCTCCTGTGCACAGATGTAACCCAGGCTCAAATAAGCACCACTACCAGGGTGTGTAGGACAGACTAACGGACCAGGCTGTCACCACCAGGCAGCCCTGGCCAGACTGTGCCGAGGCCACGCATGAAATGAGCCTGGCAAACTGAGCCAGACCCTGCTCAGCACTGCTCTATCTCCTGCAGCCCAGTGCAATGTGGCAGGAGGAGCAGCAGGCTTCCTGGCACCCTGGCCAGCCCCAGCCCCACTGAGGGCCAGGGTTGTACATGCCAGCCCCCCAGCCCCTGCCCCTGCCCCCGG